TTTTTGTTTTTGTTTTGTTTCTTCCTTTTCTTGATTTTATTGGGCTTCATGTGTTTGTTATTCACATCTCCCACAGCCGAAGGCACACACGTGTGCGCCGCTGTGCACAAACTTGCGGCTGCAGCCAGCCGGCGGGGGAGGGAGGGAGCGGGAGAAAGAGGGAAAGAGGGAAAGAGAGATGGATAAACATTTACTGATGCTGGAGCCCGCGGCAAGATGCCACGGATGCTTTTTGTATACAAACAAACATATGTATATATTCACACACACACACACACACATGGGTGCGTGTGTGTGTCTCTTTTGTTGTTGTTGTTGTCTTTGCAGCGTTTGAAACAAAAAGAGAAGAACAAAAAACAACAACAACAACAACAACAAAAAAAAACAAGCAAACACACCACGAAAAGCAAAAAGAAAAAAAAGAAAGAAATAAAAGAACGAGAGAACCCTCTCGGCGAACTCCACTCCATCGTGTCTCGTCACGACGCTCCTCCACGGCAAAAGTCCCCCAACAAACATGAGGAAGTACGAAAAAGAGAGAGAGAGAGAGAGAGAAAGAAAAATAAGCCACATATTTCCCATATGCCCAAGACAGATGTATACACATACGAACGAACAATAAAATAAATAACTAAATAAGTCATATATATATATATATATACATACTGTCAGAAGGGGGTGAACCAGGGCGGCAAGTCTCGCCTTGATTAGTCTTCCTCGCTGGAGGTGGCGGTGGTGGAGGCAAAAAAGTTGTCCTCCTCCCCAAGGAGCTTTTCAGTTGCTTCCTTCTGGCCGGAGTGTAACTCACACTCCCTTTCTTTGCGCAAGCTCACCGGCAACTTTTCGCTGCCGACACTTTTCCTCCTGCTGCTGCTGGCAGCCACGCTGCTGCCAGCATCGTCCAACTCCTCCCCCTCCCCGTATCCCTCTTCTTCCTCGTCAGCTTCATAGTCCTCATCTTCGGAGTTAATCGCGGCGTAGCGCAGCAAATTCTCCACCATTTCCACCTTTAGCGCCACGCGCCCATTTCGAGAGATTTGCTCTACCTCCTGCATGAGGTCGTGATGGACCAATTCCTGCGCCGTAGGCCGTTTCTCAGGGTCGACGCAGAGGCACGCCTTAATAAAGGCATACAAGTAGGGGTTTCCATCCTCGATCACGGACAAGTCTGGGGTGTCTGCAAGTTTGCTGATGTACATGAAAATTCCCATACCACGTGTAGTATCCAGGTACGAAAAGGGCGCCTGGCACGTTGCCAGCTCCAACGCCACACACCCCAGGGACCAAATATCTGCCTTTTGGTTGTAGCCGAGGCCTTTCGTGGCGTCCGCGTTCACCACCTCCGGCGCCATAAACCGCGGGGTGCCGGTCACCGTAAATAACAGGTCTGAAGGTCGCTTTAGCTGCTTTGCCGAGCCAAAATCCCCAATTTTAACTCGTCCATGATTGTCGATGAGCGCATTTGCCGTTTTGATGTCCCTGTGGACGTAATTTTTGGAATGCAAATACGCAAGGCCACGACATAGGTCCTGTAGGTACCGCACAATCTCTTCCAGAGGCAAGGGAGAATCACGCTCTCGAACTTTGTCGGAAAGTGTGCCGCCCGACGCCAATTCCATGTAAAGACACAGTTGCGTGTCGCTCGCTTTTTGGCAGTAAAAGTAGTGAATGATGTTCTCATGGCTTAGCGAGGTCATCGCCAGCAGCTCTTGGACAATTTCATCGGCTAACACGCCGTCGTCAAGGCGCATGCGCTTCATCGCCAGTCTGCCACCCGTGAGAAGGTCCTCGACCTCAAAGACCTCGCCAAAGGCGCCCTTGCCCAAGGGTCGAACCACCTTGTGTCGCTCGGGTTGAAACTCCGTAAACGCCGTGCGGAGGAGGGCGATTTGCTCCTCCTCCTCACGCACGCTCATCACCACCTGTTCCGCCTCGTGCACCGCAAGGTGCAGCAGAGCCACAGAGGCAGGCTTGGGAAGCTCAATAACGTGGCAGTAGCCCGTCAGCTTTTTCACACGCCAGTCATTGAAGTCGTCCGCGTAAACCACAATCACAAGTTCCGGGTGCTGGCGCAGGGTGTCAAACGGGGGCGCGCCATCGCGTAATGCGGCATATTCCTCCTCCGTGGCATCAAGGTAGAGCGGATCAATCACAAGGACGTCGGTTCCACCCCCCTCCACCTTCTCAAAGGCCTCATGAAGTGACATGAGCGGCACAACAGCATGACGACGCGCCCACAGGGTACGACAGATGAGGTAACGCTGCTTCATATCCCGTTCTGCAACGACCACGGAAAGTGGACGGACCGCAATAGAAGTCTTGGCCTTCGTCTCTTGATCCTCTTCCTCTGCCCAGGGGGCGGTGATGAGAGGGAACTCAATACTCGTTCTATTCGGCACATGCTCACCTTGCGAGGCCTCAAAAGAGAAGTCACCACACATATTGGCAGCAAGACGCTCACATGCCTTGGCTATGGACATGCGTCGTCGAGCGTCATCTTTCTTCGGCACCTTCACCTCCCCCTCCTCCTGACCCGAGTTAGGCGGTGCCGTGGGACCGAGCTTCGCATCCCCTTCCCTGCATGTCTCCAACTCCGCGGCATCCGTCACAACAATGAGCAGACGTCGCATGGAGGAAGGAGACGAAGCCTGAACCACCTGCGGTTGCTGGGAGCTGCTGCACAGGCGCAACCCGTCCGAGGTGGGCACGCTGACCGACTGTGAGCGCTCCGGGATGGTGCGCGACAGGGTCGAGTGCAGAGAGGGTGCCGGCATCGGCAGCTGGGAACCAATACTAGTACCACCACCACCTGAAAAAATAACTGGCTGCGTACCTTCACGGCATGGGGTATCTGGCAACGCGGGCTTCACCACGGACACGACGATGGAGATGAGAATGCCTGTGCCGGACTTGTTGGCCGAAACCACCACGCGCCGTAGAAGCTCCAGAAGGTGCTCCACGTCGAAAAAGACCTCCTGGGTTGGCACGTCCTCTTCAAAGGAAAGGGTAAGGCAATTTTCGGCAGCGCTAACAATCTGCAACATCTCTCGCACAAACTGTCGCAGCGTGTGCTGGATGCGAACCGCCTTCCACAGCTCCTGCAGAGATTCCAAGTTGAAGTGTGAGACGCGCATGTAGTGGTCCATGAGTGTGTTGCAGGTTTCCACGTGCGCCAACAGCCGTTGACCGTCCTCCGAAGTCAACTCCCAGTTTTTTTTCTCAAGGACTTTCACGCGTCTATAAAACGCATTTAACTGAGGCTGCAGCACATTCCGCATCCAACGCTCTCCGTCCTCGACGTAGTTCACCATGGCAGGATTGTCCGCCTCACGGCCCACGAGCAACAAGACATCACTGACGGTCCCCAAACAGGATGGGACGACACTCAACAAGAGGTTTGCGTAGTACAGCTCGGACGCCTGACGGAAACGGTAGACACACGGGGAGGACAGACCAGCGGCAGTGTATTTCTCCCAGGTGCCAATAAACCGTTGTGCCTTAAGTAGCTGTTCCCGCATTCCGCGCCGCACCGAATCCGTGGCAATGAGGCTATAGATGTGTTGCCCAAGGGCATCTTGCTGGGCAACACCCGTAACGCGTGCGGCGGTGGCGTTCCATCGAATAATGACCCCATCGGAGACAACGGCAATGATAATTGTGTTACTAAGCTCCAATATAGAAAGAGGAAAGCGATACAAATTCCTCGTTCCGGAATACACAATTTCCCCGGTGGAGGCAATTTTCAAATCGTTCTCCTTTTCCGTACTCTTTCTTCCTGCCTTGACCACCCTCGAGCCACGATGGATGGAGGACGCGGTGGACGGTGCCTCCTTCTCCGCCGCATCGCAGGCTTGTTTATCCATCGTCCGCAGGCCGTGCTGTTGCCGCACCTCCTCCACACGACGACGCACATCCTCCGTCGCGTATCGCACCAACCAGGAGATTCTGGGGTTCGAAAGCACCCACCACCGCATCTCCTCCAGCGAGTTCTGCGGGACAAGGGACTCGAAGTAAACAGCGTGCACCTGCGCCACCAGCACCTTCGACGCCGCGGTTGCGTCTGTAAGGCTGTTCGAGTGGAAGAGGAGCTCCAAGACACCAATAACGCCCCCTGTAGGGACATCCAGGAACGTGGCGCTGGTGAGTTTTTTATTTTCCGTCCATTTTTGCCTCAAGCTCTGCATCAGCCCCGCTTCATCCTCCACACTTCTTTTCACCGTGCCGCTGAGCACAAATGAAACCCACTCCACTGGTCGGTCTTTTCGCAGAAGCATTTTCCCTGCCTCATAACTGCGTACCCGCAGGGTATCTGCGAAGCGTTTGCGGTCCCCAGGACCGAGGATGGACAGCAGCGGTGAAGCCGCTATAAAATCCAAAAACATGGAACGTCGTGCCACCTTCTCGTTGTTCAAGAGGAAGCGGTAGTTTTCAATTCGAATCAAAAACACGACGCTGTCCGACACCGCGCGGACCTTATAATGTTTTTTCCCGCCGCCCGTCTGCGACATCTGCGGCTCGCCAAGCGAGTCCCCCTTTGCGAGGGTGTGCGGCATCCCAACCTTCTCCTCCAAGAGCGCCCCGGAGCCGACGAAGAGAACCTCATTTCTGAACGTGTGCGTCTGCCCAGCATTCAAAGAAACTTGTTCCAAGTGACGCACAATGTATTCCACCCCTGTTTCATCCAACTCGGAAAACAGTTTATGCTTCGGGATCGCCTCCCGTACCGTATCCAGTTCCTCCTCGAGTACAGTCGGTGGCTGCAACAGCGCTGGAGCGGACTCCTCGGCTCTCAACTGCGGCTTGGGCGCAGTACCGCCACCGGAGCTGTCAGCCAGAAGGGAGGCCGACAAGGGCTTACTGACGCAGTTTTGCGTCCCTGCGACCCCCACATCTTGACTGTTCGGGACCAAAGGGACCAACGAGACCTTACCATGTGCAGCTATCGTGACACTTCCGGGCGACGGAGAAACCGCTATGTCTGGAAGGCCACCACCTGAGTTCCCATCCATGTCTTCTATTTTCATTGGGCCCTGTGAAAGGATACTGGTGGTCAGTGCGTCGCGCACCAGGTCTTGTAGATGCGGACATGAGAGCGGAAGTTCCACAATAGATCTGAAAGCATCAATGCTCGGGCGAGCTTCAGAGGGTGGCCAGTTAGCATCACCGATTGGAGGCAAGTTACCTATTGTGTTGCAATTGGCTCCTACTGGGGGCGCTGATTTCACCAGTGTTTGTGGTGAAGACGTTGTGGAGGTCTTTTTCTCAAGCAGACTTTCCAAAAAAACGGCTGCCGCCACATGCTCACTGGGTGGAAGAAGGCACACAAGCTCCGTTAGGCGTCTGGTGGCGGCAATCACCTCTGGATCCCCAGGGACATGGTGCGCCTCCGTGTTCAGTAATGAATCCGAGTGTGCGGTGGAGTATCCGGCCAATTTCCCGCCTGGGATTCCCGGCGTCGCGTGGTCAGAGAGGAGGACGCGTTCGCCGGGTAGTGCGGCGTGAGGAAGGGTTCCGCCCAACTCACCAACACCAGAGTCCACAATAAGTTCTTTTACCGGAAGAAACTCCGCCAGCTCGGGGGATGGAGGGATCAAAGTCGCGTTCGCCTCCGCCTCAGTCGCGTCACTCATGCCGCACCTGCCCTTAAAAGACGCTGGCCTCAACAACAAGCCCTCTGCGCTGTGACTAGGCTCTGCCGCCGTTTCAACGCCTTTTCCCTCCGCCGCCTTCGCGAGCCACTGCTGCATAAAGCTGAGGTGGTTTTTCGGCTTCTGCTCCATGAGCTCGAGGCTGAGGCTCTGCAGGAGGTCTGCAACTCCGCGCTGCCGCAGGTACGCCTCTCCCGAAAGCGCATCCAGCTGTGGGGGTGATGGATTTGCCGCCATCGTTCGGGCGACAACTGGGGCTCGGGGGAGGAGGGATGGGGGTGGGGGACAATGAGAGTCGGAGATGCCTTCTTAGCCTCCGACTCCCTCTTTTATCAGAAAAGGGCTTCACCAAAGGCAAACTGAAAATAAAAAAAGCAGAGGCGCCATACATGCATGGTGGCAAGAATGGGGGCGAGGATTGCGTGGGTTGCCTGGAAGAGTCCACAGCAGCCCACACAATCCCAAGAGTTGCTGGGGAAAACAAGGAGGTGCAGACTTAGCGAACGCCCGCAAGCACACACAGATGTCTTTTTATATAAATGCACACAATTGAATGGATTTTTTCAATGCTGTGAGGATGTGTGTAGGGCCCGGTACTTGTTCTCCGCGTCTGCGTTTGTAAGCCACACGCATTCCTTTCCTCCTCCAAACACGTCGCGAGACTCTCTCCAGACACGCGTGCGTGCAGGTAACACATGCGCCTAGTTGCATCCTCCAAGTCGTCATGGGTTTGCCCCTGGCGAGGCTGTGATGCCAGGGGGATTCGTTACCTCGCAAGAAAGGCAAATAACAAGAACCATCAATTTGTCCCTTCGACTTGTTGTTGTTGGCTTACGGTGGCGGCACACAAGCAATGGGCGGTGCCGTGTTCAGGAGGGCCCCTGGACGAATGCGGCAGAGTTCCCGGGGCCAACGGCTGCGCACGGATTGACGTCTGGCAACATCATCTCCCGCGCAGAGGCTTCATTGCTAACCCTTTTGTCTTATAATTTTCCCTCCGTGTCCCACGTGCTGTTGCTTTGGTGCGGCTACTCCCGCCCCGCCCAGAGGCGTCTCAGGCGAGCTACACGCAACCCACACGCGGCTAAAGGAAAAGGAGATTGCAGGCGCAGGTGCGTGTGGGCGGCAGCAGCGCCGCACGAGCACAGGCACACAGACACAGCCAGACATACTGAGGCCACACGTGCGGCGCGTGGCCCCCGCGGGAGGGGGGATGGTGCTGAGAGTGATGGAAAAGAGAAAAACAACAACAACAAAAAAAACAAACACACAAAAAAAAGGTACAGCAGAACATATAAATACCCGTCTTTAGAGTTGTGAGGTAAAACGATGGTTCTATTCAAACACCGCGACCACAAGATGGAAAACAATAACAATAACAACAAAAAACT